GTAAAGGGAAAGGAATCAATTAATTTTAAACAGACGAGTGAAATTAGGGGTCATAAAAGAAAATATTTTGCAATCAGCCACAAGATTAAGATCAATCAAGGAAGAAACATGATTCTACACTTCAGTATATAAATAGAGTGAATAGAAGCATCAGACATGCAAGGCCAAGCACATTGGCAAAAGAAACAACATACAATAGTAGCAAAAATAAGCATATGATGAAGTAGTGAACAAAGTTAGATAGCCAGGGCTCACGTGTATAGCCAAAGTGAAGAAGAGAGTAAAAAAAAAGTAAAGGTCTCACAGTAACAGGTGAGGAAACCTTTCGAGAAGTTAGGGGTTCAACAATAGTCGAGTTAAAAAGATAGTAAAACTCAGAATTAGATAAGTCACATAAAGAAAAGAGAATCTGAAACAATGAACCTTTAATCGAGTCAAGTATATATTCAAACAATCAGTCTCAGACCAAAGGACTTAGGGTTTTCCACGATAATCGAGTTTAAAATATGGTAAAACTCAGAATCAAATAAGTCAAACAAGAACGAAGAACTTAATCGAACAAGTACACATTTAAACAAACAGTTTCAGAACTCGGATGCGACCAAAAAAAGAATTAGGGTTTTCAACATGCTGACTCAGATAGAAGAACAACATGAGCAAAACATAGCAAAATCAAAAGATCTAATGAAGAGTCGTTTTTAAAGAAAAGTTGAAGAACTTTCGAGAAAACACTTAAGACATTCATAGTAAGCACAGATCTATGGTAGATCTAAAAGAAAAATCAAAAGATCTTAAAGATTAGGGTTTCGAAACCCAGAAAAGGTAAGAAAGGCCTTGAAAGTTACCTATCTAACCAAGAAAGTCAAAGATCTGCCTTGAAAGGCCAAGAATGGCCGGAGAAAGGTCATGGATGACCGGAGAAAGGCCATGAACAAAAGTTGAGCAAGGACTGGACCAGATCCCTTCAAGGTCTGGCCATGAAACCACAGAAACAAACACCCAATAGCCATAGGAGGTTGATACACATCTCCAATGGCCATGAGAGGTTATGGATTAGGTAGGGGTTAAGGTGGATTAGGGTGAAATTAGATGGCGGCGGCTAGGGTTCATGAGGGGTTGCAGAGAGAGTTGAGAGGGAAGGGATCCAGAGGCAGCAATTGGTGAAAAATGAGGTAGGTTTAGGGGTATTTTGGGTTTAACTATGGAAGGGCGAATGGTGGTCGTTGATCTGAATGATCAACGGCCTGGATTCAAAAGGGTAGGTAGGGGAATCCGGGTTGGGTTATTTAATTGGGTTGGGTTTGAAATAGAATTGGGCCGGGGAAATTGGGTTTAATTTGGGGTCAAATTTAGGCTAAAATTGAAATGTAATTGGGCTATTATTTAAATAGCCAATTTTTCCCTTTTAAAATTATAAAAATAGTAAACTAATTTCTGAAAATAAATTGAAAGTACTAAAATAATTTATAACATATAATTATCAATTTAAAGATACAAGACTTAATTTTATGAATATAAAATATAATTGAATCTTAAAAAGGGCTAATATTGCAATTATATGCAATTTAGCTTAAAATACTAAATAAATTTATAAAAATATGCAAAAAAAACTTACATTAGCTATATTTTATCATAAATATGAAGGTCCAATAAATGAATTACCAAAATAATAATTTAAAAATAATTATTGGTTTTTTTATGGATAAAAGAGGGAAATAAATTCATTTGAAAACTTCTAAAAATTATGGAAAAAATAATAAAACATTTGGATATGCTTACATATGCATATATATATATATATATATATATATATACTATTTTGAAGGTATTTTGCATATTAAAAATATATAGGGAAAAATTGGGTATCAACAGGAAGAAGAGGAGAAACAGAAGATGACTCAACATGAGTGGGAAAGAAAAATTGATTCTCAAAGAAAACAACATTTCTAGAAATACGAAATTTGTCGGAACTTGGATCATAGAAAATAATCCCTTTCTGCAAAGTACTATAACCCATAAAAGCACATTTAGTAGACTGAGCAGAAAGTTTATTGCGTTGAAAAGGAGGCAGATGCACAAAACAAACACAATCAAATGTATGAAAATTATGATAGCTAGCATTATGGTGATAAAGATGATAATATGGAGACTCAAGATTTAACACTTTAGATGGCACTCTATTAATTAAATAGACAGCAGTAGACAAATCTTCCACCCAGTATTTAGATGGGACACAGGACTCAATCAATAAAGTACGAGTTACATCTAAAAGACGATGATTTTTACGCTCAGCAACCCCATTTTGTTGTGGTATATATGGGCAAGAGCATTGTGAGATGATTCCTTTCTCAAGCAAGAAATTATTGAATTCATGAGACATATATTCTCCACCAGAATCAGATCTTAATATTTTGATGCATGTAGAAAATTCAGTCTCAATGTAAGGCAAAAATGTCTTGAATATGGAAAATACCTCAGATTTAGAACGAAGAAAATACACTCATGTAAACCGACTATAATCACCTATGAATGTCACAAAGTACTTGAAATGAGCATGAGAAATAATTGGTAAAATGTCCCAAATATCACTGTGAATGACGTCAAAACACTTTTTAGCACAACTACCAAAATTAGGAAAAGGAAGAGTTTTACTTTTGCCTAATTTACAAGTAGAACAGTCAAATGAAGCAGCTAAAAACTGATTTTTTTTTCCAATAAACCAGAATTTGATAAATGAGACAACATTATAGAATTTGGATGTCCTAGACGCTTATGTCAAACCTCCATTTTACTAGTTGTAGAAGTACAAGCAAAAGACAGAACATGAGGAATGGAAAAACGTATAGGAAACAATCTTCCAACTTTAGACCCCTTTGCGATTATCGTCCCCGACACCTGATCCTGCACGAGGCAACCATTACGAAAAAAATTCACATCACAATTATTATCTACCAATTGGCCAACTGAAATAAGACTAGTTGAGAGCTTTGGTGATACAAAAACATTCTTGAAAGTTTGAGTAATATCCCCAACCTTGGTAATGGGTAAATTACTACCATTCGCAATCTGAATTTGTGATGGACCATGATAGTCACGTACATTTTTTAGCATGCTAGTTGAGTTTGTCATATGATTGGAAGCGCCAGAATCAACAAGCCAAAAATTAGATGTATAATTTTGTTACCTTGTAGCCCCAAAGCTGAAAAGGCTGACACAATCATTTGTTGTACCATTTCAGGAGTAAGAACTTGTCCAACTGTTGGAGTAGCAAACTGGTTGCTAGTTCCAGTTGAAGATGAGTGATCATCAGTCGAACCATTTATCCCAGCTTGAAAAGTATTGATCTTACGGTTTTGAGCACGTGTGGAACATTCTTTGATAATATGCATGTGCTGCTTATAATAATTGCAGAACTTTTTACTACAATTGCTAGCAATATGACCATATTCTTTGCAATTGTAGCATTGTGTGGTGCTCATATCCATGCCCTTTCTTTTTCCTTGAGCATCAAATGCAACAATATGAACACTTTCTTGCTTGAAAGCATTTTGTGTAAAAAGATAGCTGCTCTTCACGAGGTAAATCCCTAAAACAAATATCCAAAGAGGGAGGCGGGTCACAATTCATTAAGTTAGAGCGAACACTCTCAAAATCAGATCGCAATTTCATCAAAAATTGGTCTCGCTTGCTTTGCTCATGAACTGCTTGAATTATAGATAGAGATTCAGCAGGTATTTTAGCATAAACAATATCAGTAAATCCAGTCCATAAGTTCTGAAATCTAGAAAAATAATCCTGAACAGAGAGACCTCCTTGAGAGATAGTAGCGATTTCGTGCTCTAGCTGAAATCATCTTGCCCTATTGTCTTGGTTGTAAACCTTTTGTAAATAATCCCACATGGCCTTTGCAGTCCTGTATGGCCTGACATTAAGAACAATAAGAGGGTCAATTGACCCTAAATCCATGTCATCAATCGAGCATCTTTGACTTTCCACTAACCTAACTTTGTAAGATCAGTAGGAGCAGGATCACTTCCATCTATATGGCCCCATAATTTTTTTCCCGTGACAAATAATTGAAACTGAAATTCCCAAGCAGAATATTTTTTCCCAGTGAAACGAACACTGCAGGACTCAAACTGATGTGAAGTCATGTTTTTGAATAGAGAAAATCAAAAACACAACGATACAGAAAAAAATAGCTAGAATAACCAAGATCAAGATCAAGACCAACACCAAAAGCCCTAGATGCTTAGGACTGCTTGTTGACGAAAAATCAAGAGAACCAAGAGAACTAAACTTTCAAAAAAAAAATTTGAAAGGAACCATAGATGAAAGACACTAAGAATCAAAACTATGAAAAGAAGGCTCTAATACCATGTCAAGAACAGAGACAGCATGAGAGAAATTGAAGAATGATTATCTCAATTACTTGAATCAAATACATCAGATACATTGGTATTTATACACTAGAGAAAATATTCTACAAAATATTCTTCATATATTCTACAACTAATGCTACACAATATTCTACATTAAATGTAGAATATCCCTAATAATATCCCATATATTCACCATATCGAGAATATATTAATGTAGATATTCTACGATCTGTCCATTATGCTAACACCCATAACAATGAAGATCTGAATGGTACAACAAAAGCAGAAATAACGAACTCCTCCATGATTATGAGGCAACACAATAGTCCTTCTCGCCGACAGCAAGAAAGTCCATCCCACTGCTCCACTTCACTGCCGTAGAGATGGTTAACACCATTGTTAATATTGTTCAATGTGCTCAGTCAATCAACTGACCTCTTGTCACTGCTTTCTGGCCATGTCTCTTTTCATAAGCACGAAGGTTAGCTTATTTCGATGTGGTAGCAGACGTTACACTTATGTTGTTCTACATTTGTGATGTTCTCTTTTTTGGATTTACACCAACGTAATTAAGTAATGAAAATCAATTGCCAAAAGCAAGTGTGCCAACCAATGGACTGGCAAAACCAAATAAATAATTAGATTAGTTGAATTACTAGGAATGCCATACACCTGTAAGCAGCCTTGATGACCAATACTAAAGTAACATAATCAAGACTTGAAACAGTAAATGAGGATAAATACTAGAGCAAATCAATACAGTACACAGCTGTTTTTGAACAAGTTTGGCTTCTCAACTCAGTTTTTATAGGAAGGCAATTCAACCAAGCTGGAATAACCTACCAAAGGACATAGAATAGGAATCATGGGAAAATTTTATGATCCAACAGAAATTTTCAGGAGTAGTAAGTTCATTGAATTAGCTAAAAGATAGCATCTTCTTCAGCTGATAGAATGGATTTCAATTCCATCTCCTGCTGAGGCAAAAAATATGACCATGTTGATTCCATAATGGCTGGTGGTAGTGTTTGCTTAGAATGTCTCAATACATTAATTATGCGATTTGCAGTTTCTTTTGTAGCAAGTTCCTTTTCAGAACAGAGAACCTACAGAAGAAGTAACAGTCAATTACCAAATGTTTACATATACATAAAAGGTTACATTCGAAAATATAATGAGACAGTCATATCCACTGATCAATCAACTATCTATACAAAATTAAAAGCAAAGGGGAAAGAAACATGGGGATGTTATTTAACTTGAGATCCTGGAACAGTAATATCGCTACATAATTGGACCTTTTTTTACTCTTCTCTAATAAATTAACTTTTACCTAATTTTTTAACAGATATTGTCAGGTAGAGATCTGTTAGTTGAATTGATACTTTGAAAAAAAGTGAACAAACAAAAATTCAGACAAATGTAATTCTTCAAATTTCATAAGGTTTTGATACATTTTTACCAATAATAAGTAAAAGAATCACAGTTGCAACATCTTTATATCTATAAAAACAACTAAATCTAGCATCTAATAGTTTGATTTCAAACTGACCTCTGCAAAAACTGAAACAACTTTTGTAAGGTATAGGTAGTTGGGACCTAGAAGTTCTCTGTCTGACCTGCAAGATGTCTAATTTGCTTACTGAAAACGCAGTAACTACCAGCAAGATGATTTTGTCAAGTTGGACCGCGGCATCAGAGAAGTCAATAATCCATCTGTATTAAATGGTTTCACTGTTGAAGTTTGGCAAAATGCCAAAGTCCCACATCCGTTGGGAGTTGAGTTTGGGGGGATTTTCCCCCTATAAAAGAAGGCCTAATGTTTAGGATTTAAACACACCTCTCATTTGCCTTCTCATCTGTTTAAGGCATTTGTATCTTCTCTCTTTAGTATTATTTCACTTGTATTTTTGGAGTGGAATAAAATATTGGTTGTGTCCGAGGAGTAGGCAAAATTAGCCGAACCTCGTAAATTCTGGT